GGCCCCCCGGCCACCGGGCACCCTCCCGGGCACACGGGGGGTCCCAGAGCTCCTCACCTAGCGATGCTGGCGTAGCCGTCGCTGCACGCCATGTGCAGGGGCGTCCACCCGTGCTCGTCCTTCTGGTGGATGTCAGCGCCGTACCTGACCAGGAGCTTGACGCAGTCCAGGTTTCCCGTCAGCACGGCTTCGTGAAGGGCTGCCATGCCTGCGGGGGGGTAGCCCGGTGCTGGGGGAATCCCGAGCACGGAGCTCACAGACCTAGCTTGCCTGCAGCCCGGGAAGGAGGGGTGCCAGCAAACCAGGGGTGCCACGTTGCCAGGGAGATGAGTTTGGGGGAAGAAAGGGACTGAAGAAGCAAGAGGAGCGGCCACGGGTTTCAGTTCCCCTTCTACAGCACAAAGATGTAGCACCCACCCAGGAGGAGCTGCCCTCTCCTGCAGAGCTCCTGACAAGTGGCTGGACCTGAATCCAGGCCAGGACTGACATGGGGACACCAGGAGAGCTTCTTAGGGCCCCTGCTCTGTCCAAGTTTTGGGAGCTCCTCTCAGAGCAAGTAATGAGACAGTCAGGATAGACCCAAGGAAGCCTGGGGTCGTCTGAGCCCCTGGATCCATGGCCAAGTGTCAGCAGAAGCTGGAGCCAAGCATGGGGGTTGGACTAGATGGTCTTTTGAGGTCCCTCCCAACCCCTAAGATTCTGTGTGATTAGAAAGGGACAACCCTGGGCTCTGCAGGAGCCAGTACAGACCAAGGCTTCTATCAACTGTTGCTAAGTGCAGTCGGGTGCAAACACAACACACTTTCCCCACAGACATAAACACACAGGTCCACAGCTCCAGTGTGAGAGAAGAGTGTTTGTGAGAAGTGGGCAGAGCCTGGCCCTGCTCTGCCCCGGACCAGGCAGGAGCCCCACTGTCCATGCAGAGCTCCACAGAGCAGCCCGTGCCCACGGCTCCTTTTCTGGGTCCCACCTCTGCAGGTGCAGGTCACCCTTTGAGGGGAACTAGGGGGTGAGCATCCCCCTTCAGCTGTGCAGGGACGGGAGGTGCTGGGGCACCAGCATGGGTGTCTCTCGGGCCCTGCTGGGGACACTGCTCCTCACCACCAAGGACACACAATTCCAGCCTGTCTCCCTGCTGACAGTGGCCACTGTCCCAGCTGCGGCCACAGGGCTCTTGTCTTCCTGCAGCCCAGCCAAGCTGTGCTGGTCCCAGCACCACTCACCAGAGGGATAGATGGTGTCCAGGGTCACCTTCCTGGCACGGATGAACCTGCCCACCTGCTCCAGGTCCCCCTCCCTGATGTGGTCCTGGAAGACAACATCGTTGGGGAAGCGCACGGCGCGCGGGGCTCTCAGTCTCTGGGCGTAGCGGCTGCACTGGGGCACGGGGACCGGGCAGTCGCCCCTCATGCTGCCTGCAGCCTTCGAACACGGAGGAGGAAGAGAAGTGGAGTCGTGGGGCTGCAGAAGCAGCCAGAGTTGCTCAGTGCCCGGCCCTGCTCCTCACTGGCCTTGAGGCGCCTCTCAGGTCCCTCCTGGCTGCTGAGGTGGTGGCACCTGTGCCCAGTCTCCCCACTGGCTGGGACGTGGCTCTGTCCCTAGGCTCCCATGCCACACACAGGGCGTGGTGCTGGGCAGACGCTGCTCACCTACTGGGCCCTTGGCCCAGGACTGATGGTCCTCCAGGGCCAGGGCATTATATAGTCTCCCAAGGGCTATTTTGGGGACATGCAGCTCATGCTGTTTGCCATGATGCTTTGTAATTGAGCACTCTCCCACTTTTGGGCAGAAGTTCGTGTCTCATCTTACCGCACACCTGTTGATGTGCCCAGCCAAGGGGTCAAAGCTGCTCTTGCTTTTGCATGGACAGCCCTTCTTAGAAGCCCAAGGCCTGAAAACAAAACTTTCCAGTGGCAAGCCCTTCTACACACAGACACATGCCAGGGAAAAGACATGAGCATCATCACCAAGCAAGAGAAACCAGCCGCTCACAAACTGCCCAGCCAGTGCAGACATGTCACAGTGACAGTGCCAAACACAGTCAGAGCTCACTCATACTCCTGTGGTTGCATCAGAGGTGAAAGCAGCAGCATGAGCTGTCCTGCCCAGCACGACTGCGAGGCGGCTCTCAGCCCAGGCTGGAGGCCACCCCAGCGCAGTGGGTCTCACAAGAGCCCTTGCAAGGACAGAGGTGCTGTGGCTGCTTTGCAGGCAGGTGCAGAACCAGAGGCCTGAAGCACTCACCCATGGTGTTGTCCCACCTCAGATCAGAACCAGCTGCTAGTGAGAGAGCTGAAGAACAGCACCATCACCACACAACTCCCCATCTTGTGACAGTCCAGCTGTAGCTGTCAGGCCCAAAACGGACCATTTTCCATAGAAAAATCTTTCATATGCACCAGACTTCAAGCAACAACTGCTCCTGCACCCTTTTTCCCCATCAGTTTGGTCATTTTGGATAGACAAGCACATGATGCTCTGTTTCATGCTGATGGGGAGCGTCCAGGCAGGACAATGAACCCCCTGTGGTGCATTGGGAACAATCCCTGTGCTGCACAAGGAGTTGCAGAGATGTCATCCTGCCCCTCTGCAGCAGACCCTGGTCCTGGGCCCAGGAGCAGCCAGGCTGCAGCTCGCTCACCCACGCACGAGCTGCCTCCTGCCCTGGCTGCTCTGCTGGCAAACACATCGATCTTCCTGAGCGCCCTGAGCTCTGTGCAGACAGGACACTTCAGCTTTCTCGGAACAGCAATTAGCTGTGTACACGAGCTGACCCTGATGAAGCCATGCAAAAAGCCCCCTCCTCTGAGCAAGGCAGGACTCATATCATTAACAGAATCACTGCAGCCTTGTTCACACTTTTAACTCGCTCACCAGAATGGACCTTTCTGAGCACAGTCCTGCCAGTATCTTCCCATGGAACTTCTGTTACTGTGCTTTCTTCTAGCTCACCCAAAACTCCAAGCAGCTTCTAACTCTGCAGCAACTGCCACAAACCAGCCTTGCCTGCTCTGTTGGGATACAGGAAGGGCAGCAGGGCTGCACCCAGAGCAAGGCTTCTCCTGCCCCCAAGACCCTTGCCCACCTAAAGATGGTGACAGAGCCAGCAGCAAACTACTCCTATCCCACAGCCAAGGTTGTTTCCAGGGGAATAATACAGGGAGGCTGGAGCTGGAGGCAAGCACTGTACAGAGCTTGTGCCCTCCCACCCCAGCACACCCACACAGCAACAGGTCCCACCACCTCCCAAGATGCCCCCTCACCTCACCCTGCAACATTCACATTTACTTACAAAAGTATTTTCAGCAGTGTCTCGTTTGGAAATAGCAGTGTGGCTCAGGGGTCATGTGAGCCTGACAGCAGCACCACAGGCAGCCCCAGGTTTCCCAGTAGACACGTTCCTTGGCGAGCTGCTGTCCCCCTCCCCTCAGGATAGCTGGCACCAACCTCTGCTGGCTGCTAGCAGAGCTGGCAGCCACCTGCCCACACAGGCCTATCCACCCTGGACATGCTCTTCTTCACATTCCTTTCCTTTATAAATGACAACACAAATTTCTTCAAGTTAAGGTACCAGAAGCCACCTGCAGGACTGGAAGCATTCAGAAGTGGTTTCTCTCAAAACATGGTATTCAGTGAAAGTGTGAGAAAGCTAAGAAAAACCACACCACTGGGGCAGAGTCCCTTGAGAATCACCCTGAACTCTGGTCCTCTTTCAGGTCAGGTTCAGTTATATTCCTTCTATGTTCTGATAAAGAACAAGACAATAGTATTAAAATCTCAACTTTATTTGGCCAACAAATTCAGTTCCAATGTTATTGTAGCAGAATGCTGCCAACAGCCAATGCAGCTCAGGCCTTTGAGGCACTCCCCTGTTCAAGTTCCTCCCCAAACCCCAGTAATGCCAAATGTCCTATTTGATCTGTTATTATCAGCCATTTCCCCCCCCAGTCACCCCACTTAAAGCAACGCATGGGAAGTGACTGCAGAGCAGTCATGTTTGATCAGATGGCAACACAGGTCATGTGGAAGCTGGTGAGCCAGCAATCCCTGCCACCCCAGAGCCTACCACAGCCAGTGCACAATGTTCCACCCCTCCCGGTGTTTGGAGTTGTCATCTCTAAGTGTCTTAAAGCAGAGAGGAAGGGAAACATCTGGCCAGCATGCAGAGAAGCTACTTCCCATACACCTGTCACCAGGAGGATACTACCAACTACTGCCCTTTCCCCTGCAGAGGCTGAAAGCTGCTTCCAGGGGAGAACAGCTGAGACCACTACAGACTCTGCCAGGCACAGAAATCAACCATGGGCTTTAGTTTTAAAAGAAAAAAAGCTTTCTTGAAGATGTTAGTGGCAAGGCTCCAGAATGCTGGGCCACTGAACTCATGTTACCGCTTCCCAACCTGCTGCTACCCAAAAAACTTCAAACAAAAGTTGTGTACAAAAAAGTACATCACAATAAAAAATATTAGCCCAGCTGGCTGGGCTGGCTACCTAGTGACAGATCCCTTCTCAAGAGCAAAAAGAAAAGGCCACTGAACTCATGTTACCGCTTCCCAACCTGCTGCTACCCAAAAAACTTCAAACAAAAGTTGTGTACAAAAAAGTACATCACAATAAAAAAATTAGCCCAGCTGGCTGGGCTGGCTACCTAGTGACAGATCCCTTCTCAAGAGCAAAAAGAAAAAAAGGAGTCAAGTGTACAGACAAGTGAGGGTAAAGCATTACTTTAAAAGCCAATCCCTGGATTTCCAGTCATTCACCTTCTGCTTTAAATCTCAATGGGTTTCTGACTGACAGGGCTGCCAACAGCAGCCAATTTAGTGTCTGATTTTTGGGGTGATGCACATCAGTCTTCTCTTTACAATTCATCCTTCTGGATTTTCTGCTCATCATCATCACCTTCCTCAAGGTCTGTTTCTTCATCAGTCTCCAGGTCCTCCAGGTCCTGTGTAAATGACAAAGACAGCTCCTTGTTTCTGGCACATGAGGCAGATCCAAAAGCAGCACAGACAAAACAGCATTTCATCTGCTCACTGTTCTCTGCTGCCATGTTAACAAAGCACAAAGACTTCTGCCAAGAGCTCTGAATTTGGGATATCAAGGATCAGAACACCCTGGAAGCCAGTACCAGCACCTACAGCACCCTCCACCCTGACATGTGGAACTTCCAGCACATCATGTTCACCACACTGCTTGAGTTCCAGGTGTGAGCAGGAGCTTTCCTTAAGGAACAGGCCTCCAAGTGCTCCAGCACAACCACCAGGACACCTCGTGCATACTCAGAGGTTATCATACCCATTATCTTCATGGTCTCATGTTCACATGCCTTAGTGTTTAAGACTCCCAGGAACGTTTATTTCACACACAACTGAAGTGTGGTCACTAAGGGGAGGCCCCACCACAGACCAAAGGCCAGCCAGGCTGCACAAGGCACATCTCGATGTGGTCACTTTTGTTCACCAACAGTATCTTTTCCTGCCAAATAACCACCTAGGATCTTACTTCAGGCTGAGGAGTCAAGCACAGCACCAGATCTGATCAATCCATGGTTCTCATCCTGAAGGCCCCAAGTACTGGATTTGTTACTCACATCAGCTGCTGCCCCATCTTGACCTCCACTCTCCAGGAACTTTTTGAAGCCTTCTAGTGTCCTCTCTCCATTGTAGTCAATGACCTGGATGGAAAAACATCCAGACAATGGTCATGGGCAGCTACAGAGCCCCACCCCTGGAGAGGAGAATTCTGGTTCTGAGCAACAGTTCACATGCCAAGCAAAAGGGAATTTAAAAATTCACCTTCACCCATATGAGACGAAGGAAAACAGCTCAGCCACTAGACTTCAGAGATCACTGCGAGGAAAGAAGAGCCTGCAGATGAGCACAGTCCTCTGCGACGCTGCCTCTTTCCCCCTCCCCCACCCACTCTCCTACAGCCCAGCCCACCCAAAGGGTCTCACTGTCCTGTAGACCTGGCACGTCCCATCCCTACAGAACGGAGAGCCCTCCCCAAGGAACTCAAGCAGGTAGCTGAGCATTCCTACAGCTCCCTTATTATGGGATGTGTGCAGAGGTCAGCTGCTGCCTTACATTTCTGCCAGAGCCTGCAGGGAAGAACTTGAGCGTGGGGAAGCTGTGGATTTTCACTGCCTCCACTTCATTGGCCGTGGAGTCCATCTTGGCTATGACAATATTCTCATGGTCCCTGTAGGTCTCTCCCAGCTTGTCCCAGATTGGAGCCAGTTGCTTGCAGTGACCACACCAGGGGGCATCTGATAACCACAAACACAATTAGCACCAGCCACCCGAGTTCCCACCAGCAGCACCCCCCTCAGACAGATCACACACAGCTCTGCAATCCAGGCTCTCCCCTGTGGCTCAAATTCCCTAAGATTCCTCCTCCCTAATCCTAGTCATGCCATATTTTGGCACTCCTTTCGCACCAGTCACTTGAAAACACCTGTTGAAAGATACTTACAGAACTCTACAAAGACATTCTTATTCTCATCAAAAGCAACTTCTTCAAAGTTCTTCCCAACTAGAATCTTGACAGGCTGCTTGTCCCAGTCTTCAGGAAGATCTTGACTCATCAGGTGGGGCTGCAAGAAGTGAAATTCAGAGATGTGGTTTGCTGCACAGCTGTCGGGATGCACACGCAATCCTGGAAACCTGAGCCCAGCCTCCCTCTCAGTGCTGTGAGCAACCAGTGAATCAGTCACTTCCTCCTCTGCTTCCAGAAAGTCTCTGTCCCATCCCGACCCAGCAGG